AATTTCCATTTTAGTAATGCTTCAAGATTGTTAAAAAAGAAAATAACTATAAAATAGAACTCTATCAACAAATATTGGACACAAGAAGTATATTAAAATAAATTTAAATTAAGGGCTATTACTCCAATAATTCTCTTAAAAGGAAACGCTTTTTTATAAAAAACTCTCTTAAACCTTGAAAAATTGAAGTCTGGGTAATCCATAATATTAGATTTATCTAAATTTTAAATAATATTCTTTTACTGCAAAGGAGTGATAAAAAAAGGATATCTTGCATTTTTAACCTAAATTTCTTTAAATCTATAATCTACTTGTTTTTGATATCCCATAGAAGGATAGAGTTATCTGAACTGCCAGAAGCTAATGTATTTCCATCAGGAGAGAAACAGACTGACATTACCCAAATTCTCTTTTTTTTCTCTTAAAAATATGCTGCCACTTTGGCATAAAACATCAGAAATCCTTTCAGTTAATTTTACTTTTCACTATTGTCAATTAAATCTATTGTTTATTAAACAGAATTCAAATAATCTCAATTTTATATTTTTTTTGATTTTCAAAGTTGATTTAATATTATTTATCAAAAATACTCATATATTCATGCTAAAAAGAAATTTTTTTTTATTAAACTAGTTCTTCCATGACAGAAAATTATTGTTATATAAATGAATATACTTTATCAAAAGGCATAAAAGGCTTATATTTTGATGATTGGCATATTTCGGAAACCAATTAATCGTGTTTTACAACATGTATTAGCATAAAGAAGATTTTAAATTGGTAATATTTTAACTTGGGCATTACCATCATAAATGACTATTTCAGTCATCCTGTCAGGTGCTACTGTTAATACTAGGTCTGTCTGTTTTCTATCATCAATATCCCACATCCAAAACCTTGCAGTATTAATTTCGTATGCTGATAAAAATTCCAAATTTATTGATTCGCCGAGTCTGGCAATAACATGCCCTTAATGAACATCTGGAGGGTAGTAATACAGTAAATTTCTTAAACGGCTATTTTCAATACCTGGTGCCCAAAAAATAGTTTTCTTGCTTGAAGATAGAGTGCTCCATTAAATTACGAAGCTATAAACAAAACATAATAGATGCTAATCTTAAAATATAATGATCATTTTAAGAAAATTTTGCATTAGCATCAGCAGCTGGTAATGGAGCAAAATCTGAGTACTCTAATTAGAAAAACAAATGCAATAGGTCCATTAAAGATATTAATCTAATAAAATTTATAGATTGATATATAATTAAGACTGTTCAGAAAATTAATATCTTGAGGAGGAATAAAATATGTAGAACATTATTGACATTCTACCTAAACTTTAATCTTGATCTATTTAAATACCTTATAGCCTCTTAAACTTCAAAATTGAATTATTAATTATAATAATTTGGCTTCTCTATAATCAATCATCTCTCTAATCATGATATAAATTTACTTAATTTTTCAGCATGTCAGAGCAAAATCAATTTGAGAATAAAAATATGTGAGAAATTAAAAATAGTTGATTTAAAGAATGTAAGATAGAAGAAAGTGAATTAAAATGAAATCCATTTCAGTTTTACAATTTTTGTTTCGTTAAATCTTAAATAATTCTGAAAAATAGTAAGCAATGTTAAGTTAATAAATTGGGATTGCTTAATAAATTTTAGAACTGAGACAAACAATGATAGAAAATATTATTAGGATATTAACAAATAAGATATTAATTTTGGGTAAGCAATTTAATAACTATTCTTGAATTTATAAAAAAGCATCAATAAATAATACAAAAAGAATTTTCAATGATTTTGTAGAATTATTCAATTATATTGAATTTGATTAATTAAATATTTTCAGCAACAATGCAGTTCCCTAAGTTTTGAGCATATGTTCATTACTTTTCCGAAATGGTTAAATTTTTTGACAGAAAAATCATAGATAAACCACAAGCGATGTTTTGTCAGTAGTTTTGGAAATATCATTTGAATATATTTAAACTATTACCTAATGGCTCTTAGCTTTTCTCTTGAAATGCAACATATTTGATTTAGCATAAGCCAAATTATCTTCATGAGATAACCTAATTGCAATTCTTACTTATGTTAAACTCAAAAATCTTACTATGCTTTTTTAATGGATAAGTAAAATATTGTTTTGGAGGGGTGAAGTAAAAAAACGAGAGATTGCTAATGCTTAAGCTTATAAAAATACAGAAACAAAAAATAAACTGCATTTTATAATAGAGATGTAGTTTTAAACTAGGCCAATTAGAGACTATTAAATAAAAAGGCGAGGCATTTTTTTAAATTTTAGAAGCAATTAAAAAGCCTATAAAATATTTTGTTACCATTGTTAGAATCAAATATTCTAAAAAACTTATGAAGTTCGATTTCAAATGAAGAAATAATAATAAGGTGAAAAAAAGCCTTAAGAAATTTTGAGGGTGTTGATTTATTAGTTGTTATTTGATTTAATAATTTGATAGTTAAAAATTACATTCAATGTCGAAGGAAGAGGATCAAAGTGAAGTAGAGGATCATATTTTAAAAAGATTTGATTTGTAAGAATATAAAGGAAAGGGAGCTTATGGGATTGAATGGAAGGCGTACGATACAAAAACCAAATAAATTGTTGCATTGAAAAAAGTTTTATTTTAAAAATAAGCTAGGTGTTTGATGCTTTTCAAAATTCTACAGATGCATAGAGAACTTACAGGGAAGTTGTATTTTTGAAATAATTAAATACTCATGAGAACAAATTAATATCTGTCATAAGGGCAGATAACAACAAAGACTTATACATGGTTTTTGAGAATATGGAAACAGATTTGCATCGAGTAATTGTTTTTTAATAATACAAAATAGGTTATCAGAGCAGAATTGTTAAATAATATGCATATCCAATATGTGATGTCTTAAATTCTGAAAAGTCTCAAATACATTCATTCTGGATAGTTAGTATACAGAGATTTGAAGCCAGTGAACATTTTGATAAATGCAGATTGCCATATCAAAGTGGCTGATTTTGGATTATCAAGGTGTCTATCTGAGACAGAAAATAATCATGGTAAATAATTTTTATATTTTTAGAAATGCCTATTATGACAGAATATGTAGCAACTCGATGGTATAGAGCCCGAAAAATACTATTTGGATCTAATTATTATTCTACTGCTGTCGATATGTGGAGTGTCGGTTGCATTTTAGGAGAAATGATATTTGGTAAAGCATGCTTTGCAGGTATGAATACTATTATCAAAAGGAACTTCAACTTTGGATTAAATTGACAAAATTATTTAATTGATTGGAAAACCTACTATATCTGAATTGGAATCAATCAATGCTCCTATGGGTTATCAAATTATTGAGTAAATTAATTGCAAAAAGCAATTCAGTTACCCACAATTTTTTCCAAAGGCCAATGATATCCAAATTGATTTTTTAAAGTAAATATTATAGAATAATTAGAAAATTGTTAGTTTACAATCCAAAAAATAGACTGACAGCTGAATTGGCTTTAGATCATCCATATCTAAAAGATTTCAAACAAACAGAATAAGAAATAATATTAGATTAATACATTACCACTCCACTTAATGATAACAAAAAACTTAAGCTATCAGATTATAGAGATGCCCTATATAAGGGACTCATAACTAAAAAGTCTAAAAATTTACTTAGCACTAATTTTTCTAGTTATTAAACTTATAAATAGAGTAGAAATGAACCCAATTCAAATACTATTGTAGTTAAATCTGATACTGAGCAATATATATACAAATAACCAGTTAATTAACAATAATAAGTCAGATGTAAATCTAGATTAGATTAACGAAGTGAATCAGTTTCTAAAAAAATTGCCTAAACCTAATATTTCAACACTTAAGATATTATAAGAATTTAAAGGCAAACTGACAAATCAAAATCTTTTCACATCGATGAAGAAGTAGCATTTTTAATTCATTTTAGATGACGACTGTTCATAAGTCAATAACTAAATAATAGTTGCTTGATGAATAGGTTCCAACTACAACTATTCATAAACAATAAGAGAAATCTTGTAATCGGATGAGACCTTCGAATGGAAGTAAATTCTCTGAAAGCAAAGAAAATTCAAGAATTAATTCATTAGAAGGAACTATTAATAATCATCTCCTTGCTTAAACAAAATTTAATTTTCATAAAAATTATTGAAGAAAAAATAAGTCAGCGATATTTACAGGTATCTAATCCTAAATATATAAATAGATAACCTCATTCGATCTAATAAAATTCTAAGCCTAAGTTAGGTGCTAAGAAATCGAAAACTCCAGATCTCAAAAATTATTAAATGGTTCACTCAAGAAGTCTATCTTAGAATAAAAAGATTTCTGTTTCAAGAAGCAGTAGCAAGGCTAAAACACGAGGTAGCCCATATCACTCTGAAGGAAAGGTCTTAATCAGTCAACCAGATATGAATGGCCCTTTTTCAAAGAGTTTCTATAATTTTAATAATTTGAGTAAATATTATTCATATTTTCATAGTCAACTCTAATTAACCTTTGTATGCAAAAATTTTATCTAAGCATTAAAATTTTGTTAAATTCAATTAAAAAAAGTTACGCTCTGAATCATTAAAGAAATGATTATATAATAATTTTTTATATCGATATAATCATAAAAAATGAGGATTAAATGATAATAATATATTTATTTGATATACTTAAAATTGTAAGAGAACTTACTAATATATAATTTAATTTTCAAACAAAAGAAATAATTACTATTTATTTTAATAAATGTATATTGTTTAAAATTGATTTGCCACAAAAGGTTTTCAATTAGATGCGAAAGCTATTTAAGAAGTTTAACCAACAGGAGAGTAGGATGCTTTAATCAAGGAATGTCAATGAAATTATGCAAAAACATATAAAATTATCGAATAAGAAATTCTTAAATTATTTAATAATTAGCTATCCCAAGATAGATATTGTCCTACAGAAGAAATTTCATAAATAATATATTAAAAACATATCAAAAGTTTATTATTCAAATTGATGAAACAAGCAACAACTCAAAATTAGATTTTGATAAGATTTTCAGTCCATTAATTATGTTGAATTCCAATTAATTTCTACTGACAATCCTAATTGATTAACATTAACGAAAGAATTCCTTTATGATTGAATTATGTTATTTATTAAGCAAAAAAAACCAAATTTGTTATATAAATATATTTATTAATATTTTAAAGCTATAAAATAATTTTCAATAATATTAAATAATATTCTACTAAACAGCAAAATTTATTTTATGATTAATATTTTTCAAAATTTGATTAAAAAGGAAAAATCCAAATTGCTTGAAAAACAATAATTGCTTAAACTGTTCTCATGTACTATCAATCATTTTTTCATATATTTTTCAAAACCTATTCAGTTTCTATTGTATATTATGTTTCTTTTTTTAATTGCTTCTGCTAAATAATAAAGCTTATTCATGGATATTAAATATTCTAATAATTCAGGCTATTTAATAATTAGCTTTAATTAATTACATTATCTACATCCTTTTTATTCAAAGTAGACGAAATGATTTTATCTGATAAATTCACCTATTCTTCAATTGTTTCAATTAACTATCTACCATAATTTGATATATTGGAAGTGAATTTTGTTTCTTCATACTCAAATTTCTCTTCAATTGAGGTTCTGTATTGATGCAAAATAGCCTAATAAGAAATTTGATTTACTTCTGTTAATGGAGTTTTGAGTAATTCTATAGGAAGTTATCTGTATAATTTATCATTCTTTATATCCAACATTGAAAATTCATCTTTAGAATAAATTTATGAATATTTCTCATTAATCTATAAAATACCAAAAATGCTTCTAATGGATATGAATGACCAGATTTTGCCAATTACAAGGAATATACTAAGATAAAGGTGTATTTAACATAGAATTATAGTCTATTGATATCATCAAATTAACCTAAAGTAAAATATTTATTTTTATCAGTGATGATATATAAACCAAGCTTGTGAAAGTCCAAATGATGTTCTTTTGCATAATCTAAATATTCATACTATTGATCTTATTCTTCATCCATATTAATGATAGGGAAGCAATTAGTAACCTCAATAGTTTCACCTTCAAAAATTCCTAAGAGTTAACCATACTAATGAATAATTGGATTATCATTAGCTAGTTTAATAATTTTCATTGCTGCCTAATATTGATGTTAAAAATACAATTGTGTCTAATTTTACATTAAATGCTTTAAGTATAGACTATTCTCCCAACATTATATTAATTTCAAAAAATAAGATATTTAATCAATTTTTATATTTTTAAAGCAACTTTTCACCAGCTCTCGTTTATGCCTTTACTTCTAACTTATTTAATTTTATTTCTAAGAATTATAAAGCTATTTGAAATAAAACATTTTATGAAGGTATCATTTTATCAGGGCTTCAATAGTAACGAATTAAGACAATTAGCTCTTTTAAAATGTTCTAATTTGATTTAGAAATTTTGATCTTCAATAGTTGTTGGTATAGAAAGTTTGATGTATACTTTCTCTTTTATGGTTCGTCTTCAATAGGCATTATCTAGTTTTATCAAAAAATAATGTCTCAAAATAATAAGACAGGTAGTTCATTTAGGTACTAATATAAAGTACTCATTATTAATAGTTCCATTCATTTAAGAATATAAATAAAGTCAAAATAATTACGTTCTCTCCACCTTTGTACTCACATCAATATCGTTAAAAATAATATTCTTAGTATTTCTAACATGCTGATTACAAAAGTCATTGAATTTTCTTATTTCTTAACTTTAAGAATTTACTATTTTCAATGTAAATCTTTGAAAAAAATATTTCTACATATCGGTATTGCTAGATAAAACTTTCGCACCATGTATCCCCTCCTACTAATAGAATTCGTTTATTATTATTATTTTCAATTCAGTAATATTTTTAAGTACTCTATATATAAGGAGCCTTCATAATTGATTCTATTTAACATTTCTCTGTCAACAATATTAAAGTTGAATTATTTAAAACTAAGGATTTATTGTTATATTTACTATTTGGGCTGTAGTTATTTTTGTATTATATATTTTTTGTTTTTATATTTTAGTATCTATAAAGTAAGTTAGATTATGAATTTACTTTTTCGTCAATCTAAGTTATTTCTGAGTTAGATTAAATAATACCAATGAGCTTATTTTTTTTATAAGATGTTTCATTAAGCTCTTTGGACGTCTTATGAATCAAAGACATAGTCTATCCTTGCAAATTTTCTGAATTTTTATATTATATAAAATAATATAAATTCAAGGTTTATAGAAATAATTAATTGATGACCAATCAAAAAAATGTAAAGAAATTGAAAAAATTAATGTAAATTACAAATACTCAAAATTCCTAAAGTTTACATAGTTATTAATCAAAGTAATCCATTAACATAGTTATTAATAAAATCTTCATCTTCTTCCTAATCTAAATCATAATTTTTCCAAAAATTATACTCTTAATCTGTTATTAAATGATCATTTTCTGTTTGAGTTAATTTAGAATTTTTTACTTTTTCAGTATGTGTTACTTAAAAAAAAAACCGAGGTTTCCTAGTTTCTTTCTCTTATTAATGATTGATATTGGAATTTGGAGAAAACCCAAATGATTGTTATTATAAATCATGTTAAAATGCTCCAATTCTATATTTTTTTGCTTTCAAGTTGTTTTAAACAAAATATGGTTCTAGTATTAAATTATTAATCTCCTTCTTTTCTATTTGTTCATTATAAAGATGCTTAGTTGATAGGGATTTTTGTTGTTTGTTTTGCACTTCTATTTCTTTAAGTCTATATTTTATTCTTCTCTCTGAATTTTATTTTTGCTTATCTGGCAAAGCTTTAATTCCCCTTACTTCAGTGAAATATTCATTGTAATAAATATTGTTTGGAGATTATGATTGAAATTAATTTATTTTTGGTAATTGAAATCTACTGTCTGATTTGTATATTCTAGAAATAACTAAGGCTGGTTTATTTTAGAAGCTTATGTTACAATCTTTCATTTAATTAAAATTATATAATCATTTGTGCTTGAGAGCAACAATATACTCTTGAAAAAGATTAAACATAAGATTTTGGTGATGAGATTGCATAACATAATGAGTATATCAAAAAAAGGAATATTTAAATTATAAAGTTGATGAGATTAATAGTTAAATTAGTGTTTTAATTATTTGAATCCTTTATAATTATAATATTTCATGATTATTATTCTTATTCTTATTATTTCTTTTTTTCTTCACTTTATATTTGCTCTTTATATTAATCAATATTCTTTCTTAATCTTTCTTTCTTTTTCTCATAATCTAATTTTTCTTATTTTTATCTTTGTTCCTCATCCCTCTTTTTTCTTTCTTCTATTTCCTTTATAATTTCTAAATTAATTTTTTATAAATACATAATTCGCGTTCATGATGTAAATTTTTAATTTAGGCCAACTATCTTTTTGTACTAGCCATATTACTATTCTCAAATTATTTCATATCTTTAACAATATTAGATATTTTTGATATTTCTAATTCTTTACTTTCTGTATTTCGAGCCTCTTTTAATAATTTCATATCTTATTTCATTTATTCTTCTTTTCGTTATCTTTTTTATATATTTTCAGTTCTCTCAATTTCCCTAATTAAATCATCCTAAAATCCTATTCTTCTCTCATATTCTGCCTTCATTTGCCCAAAATTATTGGCTGACACATGTTTAGGAAATGAAACAGCAGATGAAGACTTGATTTTTAGGCTTTCTGTTTGCAATTACTTAAATTTTTCTAATTTCTTATCAAGTTATTATGACTTAATTTCTAAGGACTATTTATACATTTCTTATTAAACTTCTTTACGAGTCTAAGAATTAATAAATAATTACTTTATTTTTTATCACCTAAATTATCCTCTTTTAATCTTCAGTTTAATGTTATTATTTCATATAATTATGATATTCGTCTAACATTTCTTATCGAATCTAAACTTTCTCTTATTTTAGTAACCCTTTGAGCTCTCTTTATAATTCTTAAAATGTTTTCATGTTTTTTTCATTATCTACTTTTTATGACAATTCTTATAATTTTTCAAGTCTTTCCATCATATTTTATTCCCTTTTCCGCTATAAATCTTCTAGTTCTTTGATTCTTAAATCATTCATGCTTTTAACTTTCTCTATTTTCTCTCTAGGATTCAAATACATTCTTTATTATTGAGTATCCTTTATTTCATTCTTCAAATTTTCTACAATTTACCTTGCTTAATTGAAATTAGATGATTCAGCATCTGATCGATTGTGTAACCATTTCTAAATCTCCTACTATTATTGAGTTTACATATGTTTTTATTTTATCTTTTGTTATCTATGTTTTTCTAATCTCTCTTCCAATTCCTGTTGCTTATGCTAATACTCAATTTATTTTGATAATATTTCCTCTTCCTTTTTTGCTTTGTGTAGTTCTGCTCTTTCTTTCTTTTTTATTTTATCATACAACTTAAATTCTAATTCTAAAGGGGACAATGATTTAGTCAATATTGATTTACTCATTGATACTATTGATTTATCTAGAATTATCGACTTTTCTGCTATTGAAGACTACATAATAGATTAGTCTGCTACTGACTACTATTATTTCTATTCTGGAATTGGTATGTATTGTATTTCTTTTCTTATTTCATTAATTTTTTATTTTCTTGAATGTTCTAAATGATTAGATAGAGCATCTATTAATTCTTAATTTATTTTATTTCCCAATGGATCTACATCTATAAGTGAATATATACCTTTAGTTTTTATGATATTAATGATATCTTTTCTTTATTTTCTTTGTAAATCTTAATACGTGTACCCTAGCACTTACATTGCCCGAACAAATCTTGGTGTTAAATCTGCTTCATCAATATCATAAGGACCTAATATTGTAAATATCAATATATAACCTTTTTCTTTTTTTGGTTCCACCAACTCAGATTCATTCTTTTATGATTATTCTCCTTACTATTGGCCTTGTTATTCCTCTTTTTTTTCATTTTGATTCTCTTAACTTTGTTGATTTTATTAAGTTGATTCCCCATTGGTTTTTTATTATGGATTTTCTTGTTATTAATCACCTTGATTATTCTCTTATTGGTTTTTTGCTTCTGACATTTTGGAATAAAAATTAAAAGAATAGATTTACTATTTGAAGTGTTATATAATTAATCTTGATAGTTCATAATAATTGTGATAAGAATATAGAGCTAATTATTTTAAATGTAAATAAATGTAAAATAAAGTTTATTCGAGGAGAATTGGAACTTATGAACTTATGATATCATGATCTTATAAACTTTTAAATCATGGTGAATTAATCTACTAAACAATAGATGAATTGTAAGAATTATTTGAATAAAACCAAATCAATTAATTCTGTTCTTTAAGTATCCTGAGGCACCTTCTAATTTAGTAGCCAAAATTTCTTCAACTTATCTGATGATTCCAATTTCCTTGGTTCTTTATTCACTATCTCTGGCATATTAGGTTCTGAGGGCTTCACAGTCATTTTCCTTTTAAGTCTTTCCAGCAGTTGCAGTGGCTAATTCTCTACCAGCATCTTCCTTTCTCTTTTTTTATGCTCCCAAAGCATTTTAAGTTTAGGTTAACTTGGCTTCATTATCTTTTAAAGCATTTTAGCTAATAATGATTAAAAGTAAATTTACAAATTCTTTCTTTAATCGGCGAATTAAGCCAACATGTTTTAGTAATCAATTTAAGCTTAGACTTCAGCTTCTTAGTCATCAACAGCTGATTATTCAATTGATTATCTAAGTTCAGCAATCTTGTCTTATGTTTATTATAATCTTTCCTTTGAGAATGCTGAGGCAATTGAAACCAAAGCAGCAATTGGGTTACTCTTACCCATGTTATGTAATTCTAAGAAGACAGCTTTTGGATCTTATTCAGGTTGAATAGCTGATAATTTTGCAGCAACAACGTTCAAGGCTTCAACAACATCAGCTGTGGACTTAATTCTTTGAGTAAAAGCTTCAGCATCTTTTGCTCTTTGAGTTCTCAATGTTTCTTCTTAATCGTTAAGAATTCCCAATTACACTTAGATGTTTTCAATTTCACTTTCCAATTATTAGACTTAAGCAGATAAGGCTGTGATTTCAGTTGTTGATTCACTGATTTCATTGGAAGCATAATCGATTCTTCTATTGTAACCAGCAATTTCAGCAGCACAATCAGCTTCATCAGCAGCATGTTTTAATTCAGCTTATTATTATTATAATAATAAGTTTTCTCTCAATTCTTAAAGCATTCTAGCAATATCAGCCAATGGAGCTTAATTTTTCATTTATAGAGCAATTGTATCAAGTAATTTTCTTCCTAATGCGTGTTCTTCAATCTATTAATTTCAATGAAATTAATTACCTCTTCCAATTCAGCAAAGACAACTGCATTTGGATCAGATGGCTTTTTGACAAAGACTGCATTAAGTGTTACCAATCCCAATAAGAAACAAATTGTGAATTTCATTAAAATTAATATTAATAAAAACGGATTTAAAAATACCTTATAAATAATAATTGATTGAGGAATATAATTAAATAAACTAAAGTAAAGTATTTTTTATTCTTATTCTTTAGAATAAAATGCTTTCAAATTACTTTATGTGATTTTTGATTTAAAAGTAATCATGTTTAATATAACTCTATAAATTTAAAAGCACAATCCATTTAAAATATTTTACTATATAGTTATGTTAAAATATATGATTATTTAATATTAAAATGTAATTAGATTTCATTAACAATTTTTTTAATGAGTTCATTCTTAGGCCAGATAATAGCCTAGTAAATCTAAATTCGGAGATTTTACACATCTAAAAGCACACGAAAGTTGTGATAAGGGAAAATGAATTTGATTACAAATTGAACTATCATAATTTTGCTTCATGCTTAAAGAATAAATATGAAAATAAATCTAACTTAATTTAATTGATTGAAACATAATTCATTTTTAATTAGGTACATTAACACATAAAAAGATAAAATTATAAAATTCATTTAGAAAAGTATTCTAAATATTTTTCTTTGTTTAATTTTGTAAATCCACCACCTAATCTTTATTATAATCCTATTTTTTGGTCTGGAATATGCTAATAACTAACATCTTACTCTAATGACCATCTACTATAATTCAGATCTGATAGAATAGATTCTACTGATTCTTTTTTTTCAACAGATAAAACAGGTAAAATGTTTTTTCCACTTTTTCTGTGATTTATTACTTAGACTTTTTAAACTGCCTATCTATATTTTGAAGTATATTGAGATTCATTTAATTATTTTGGAATTGGCTTTATTTGAACTCTTTTATAAATTTTACTATATTCTTTAATGATTTCTATTCTATTTTGTTTTGCAATTTTTCCTTCTATATGATGAAATTTCTCTGTAAAATCAAATTTATTTGGGGAATTGCTTTCTTATCTATCAGTATATGCTTTATTTGCTTTGATTTTCTAATCTAAAGTTAATATACCATAATTTGCATTCATTTCTTCTGGTGTCGTATTTTACTAAATTTTTTTACATCTTATTACAGATCCTCCTTTGGTTGGAAATTGTAAAGGTTTAAAAATCATTTGTTATTCTTCATTTCTTCTTTTTTCTCTGTGTTTAGACATTTCTTCATAAGATGAGAATATAATGAAATCTTTATTTTGATTAGCAATTTTCATAAGGTCCTCCTTAGCCTCTTTTAAATAATTTTACATTTTTAGTCTATCTTCTAAACTTTGTTTATGTTCATCCTGAAAATTATTTTATTCATCTTATGTAAAAATTCCTTTTTTTTTTAATCCTTGTATTCTTTTGATAATTTTCTTTGCTGGAGATTATTAAATAACTGTTTCTGACAACATTTAATTATTATTCTTGCTAAATTTAATTTGAAAGCTAATTTTCTATAGTATCGCATTAAGAACTTATAATATCGTATGGCAAGATCAATTAGTTTTGATATTAGAATAGGATTTAAATGAAGAAACAAAAAAATAATGAAACATTTAGTTATATATTAAATTCAAGACTTCAAAGAATACCTACTATTTTTAAATCCTATTTAATCTTAACTTGATGAGTTTGTAATATTTTTTTTTGGAACATCTTCTAATTATACCGGAGTTAGAGGAGTAGATGTAGTCATGTAATTCATTATCTGAATTGAATCATTATTTTTAGGTGATGACTTAGTAGTAGACTATTCAATTGAATTAGATTATATAACTGATAGATTTAGTTGAGCTATTATTCTCTAAAAAAATAAATTAATTTATTTCTACTTAATATATTCTCTAGCATAAATCGATAGATTGTGATGAAAATTCATCATCGCAAATTTCAGAGTTTTATAACGAATACGTGTCTAAAAAATGTTATGGCTCTTTAATGTCTTAAATATATTGCTCAATATAATCATTTAATTTCTATTATAAGTCTTCAAACGAATTTGATCTATTTCGACCTGTTGGAGAGTGCAGTTATAATTATTCCTGTTGTTGCAATTTTTCTTATGATTTATCTATTAGTAATTATAGATTTATCTCTTTAATCTTAAACGATTATGTACAAGAACTTTACTAATCATTTATCTAAATGTATTTCGAAATAATTGACCTATTCATCCTTCTCAATTATTTTCCCTTTTAACACTTATGATGAAGTAATTTCTAATTTATTATAAGCTTCGTTCTGATAGTTCGAGCATTTCTGTGAATTTTTCATAATGTGATTAATAAATTATTAATAAGTCTAAGATCAGCATCAAAAAGAATAGTATTATAAACAATGTAAATGCACAAGCAAAATTAAAATTAAAAGACCTTTTGAAAACAATTAGAGATTTTACTGTTAGAATAAATTTGATAATCAATATAAAAAAAAGTTCAAATCATTTTTATAAACAATTTTTAATCATTTTTAATTATATGTTTTTCAATCCATTGCTTTATCAATAATTATTATAAACTATTTAATTGACTGATTATTTATCCTGAACAAAATTTATACTTTGTTATAGCAGCATTATTTCTATTTAATTTTGATTTAAGTAATAGATTACAAGATAATAATTAATTTATAATAAATTATTAAATGCAATAAGAAATAGAAAGAGAACAAAATAAATATTCATTAATATCAATTTGAATAGAAGTATTCAGAATTAATTAAGCAAGTTTTATTAGTTGATAATGATAATTGCGCATTAAAAATAAATAGAAATGGTAAATTTTATCAATAAATTAGGGAATCATTTAATATTAACTTTTTGAAGTGATGATGCTAAGAAAGTTAGATCAACTGTTAAGTATACAATTGAATAACTATTACTTATTCTTGAGACAATAATTTATACAAAAAAATGAGTATGCTAAGAACTTTATATAGAGAGAATTAAAATATGCTAAAATAGGCAAATGATCCCTTAGAAATTTAATATTAGGTAGAGCTACTTCTTGTTATAGTAAGCTTTCTTCTGGAATTCTTAAAATCTTTTCTACTTTTGCATTATGTTAGTAAACGTAATCAAAGCATCATTTAAACAATATTTAATATAATAATTTACATTTTGTGTATAATTAGTAAATTTATGGAATTGATCAATGCTCTCAGTTAATTTAGTTTAGAAGGACCATAATGTTTAATATCTCATTTTATAGCTGGATTTAATTTGAACACATTTCAATTCTTTCAACAATAGGTTTTATTATTTTTATGTATTATATTGGATTAGAATGAGGACTATTAAAGTCTCCACAAAATATTAGTATTTGATCATTAAATTCTTTTTAAGCTTCCTTCTATTAAACAAGTGACACAACCCAAAAAAAGTTTAAATCATCTTGGTTTGGATTCCAAAATGCTTGTATGTTTCCTACTAAGAATTTTTTTTGTTAATCTTATTATATCTAAAATTTGACAATTTAAAACATATTTTGTCTATGATATACTTAGGAAACCGAAATCTACAGCCCTCTAATCAAGGGAATACTCTGAATATTTCAGAAGTTTGAATTTCTCAATTTTATAAGCAATTAAACATCCATCTGGTCAATCAGGTCTTTTTAAGTAGCAGATATCATAATTAAGTTTATCTTTAGGTTCTTGATAAAATTTAAGATTATCAACCTCTTATAAGCATAATATATCAACATTGAAATTTTTGAATTAATCAATAAATTGACTACTTCTATTAGTTGACTTTAAATTTTAAATTTCAGCATAACTAAAATATTGGATACTGGCTAATATTAATTTTTTTGACTAAATTATTACTTTGTTCTTTTTAAATCGTTTGAGAAATTTATTACATTCTTGATAATAATTAATAAATTAATTTTACAGAAATAATCAATGAGTCCAATTTTCATCATCAGAATTTGTGACTTTTATGTTCTATTTTGAAGTTTTATGTGAATTTTACATATTTAAAAGCTAAAAGTAAAATTGATATACAAAAAGAAGTGAAACATTGAGATTAATAAGTTAGAAGATATTTTCTAAATATATGTTAAAATGAGAATCCATTGTTTGTAATAAATAATTGCATTATAAATTAAATCTTTTTTAAAATAAAAAATGGTTAAAAACTCAGCATAGGACCCATAAGATAATTCCTTATAAATGAAAGTACATAAGAAGAATAAAATCTTTAGATTAGACAATACTTGGTCTCAGGTAGAAGACTCCCTTCAAAAGAAGATCCTAATCCAAAAGTTATTAGCATGAGAATATTTGCAAGAAATACAGTTGCTGCAAAAAGCAGATTCTGGTATTTAATTAATGCAATATTCTAGGTGGAATTTAAGAAGATTAAATAAACTTAAACCTTCTCATGGTTAGATTTTAGCAGTTTAAGAATTATTTGAGAGAAGAGACACAAATGTCAAAACTTATGGAATAGTTCTTAAATATTAATCCAGAACAACTATCCACAATATGTATAAGGAATTTAGAGATACTACATTGAATGGTGCTGTCTCATAATTATGTATCAACAAATAGTGACTTTTCTAGATTAGGAAATGGCAGGAAATCACAGAGCTTAACCATAAACTATACACATTCTCAGAACTTCAGTTTTAACAAAGAGTGCTGATATCAAGAGAGGAAAGACTAATTAATACAGAGTATAATAAATCACAAATTATATAGGGAGATTCAATTAGATTCCCAATTGTTAAGACAGTTCCAAGAGCTAGTCATAAGAAATTCAGAACCGTATTTAAAGCCAAAAGACCAAATCTATACAGATCATGATCATTATGATTATTTAGTACAATAATAATAAATTAAATAAATTATATGGTAATATAAGTAATTAATAATATGTTCTGAATATATATTCAAATGAAGTATATACAACTATTTAATAAAGAAATAATTATATAGTTAATATTCTTTTTAAAAATCTTAATAATTTTCGAAATTGAATTCATTGATTTCAAATTAAACAAAAGATAGAATTCAAATGAATCTTTTAAAAATGAGTCCCAATATTAATCCATTAATCATGGCTAAAATGTGAGTTGGTCTACATACTTCATTAATGAATCCATTTTAGTATTCTTACAATTCATACATACCATACATAGCAGGAACTAAAAAAAATGGGAGTGGAGGCTACAATAATAATTGTGTATACTTTATTTAATAATTTTAAATGAGGTTTCAATACCATTAAAGAAGTCATAAAACTTAAAGGAGTAGTTGCTGATACACATTTTGGAGACATTAAATTGATACCATTTTCTGCACTTCTTTTTTTCTCATAATAAACTGTAAATGAAGAGCAAATAAGAGAATTAATGATATAAAAGGCCAAAAATTAAGCATTGCATAAAACTGTACTCATTTAATAAAAAGAGTATAACATAGCTGGGCCGTAAACTAATAAATGTCCCTAATAAGTTATTTATTAAAAATACATTGGTCTAAAAATTTAAGGGAGCCAAAATCAAGGAATGAAAATATTATTTCTTAGGCACATATTCTGAAATTGTTAAATGAGGAAAAGCTTAGCCATAAGGCAATTTTGACCATGCAATAAATGAAATTAGGGATGCCCCTACCAAAGTTAATGGCACATAATTAGCTTTAAAGATAGCAGTGCTTCTTGTAAGTCTTGCAATTTCTTCAAATTTTTAACTCATAAATTATTTTATAATTAATCATTGTAATTACAAAAACTCAATGTTTGTTGTTAATTAAATAAAGTTATGAGTTTCATCATGTTTGAACTCTTTGATGCAAATTTTACATAAATCAAAATCTGAGCATTCACAGCATTAATAACGATAACCTAAAATTGGTGAATTTTCACAACCATCACATGTAATTTATTCATGAATATTAACTGAATGTATTTTAAAGTATTTTAAGAGATCTACTTTTTGTTTCATTAATTTAATGTATGAATCTTATTTAAGTTTATTCCATTCTATCACATGATTACATTAAATAAATATATGATTATTAGGATGTTCTTATTCTCTCTTATGAGTATTGCATTCCTCACAAATCTAAAAGTCATTGCATATTATGCATCTAAAGTATTTTTTATATTCCAAATTATCATCACAAAAGTAACATTTATGATAATCAATTTAATGGATTTCAGATATTGACATATGTTAAAGTTATTCATTTAATTATTAGATTTCTTAAATCTCTGAATTTATTTTGAAATAGCCTTTTGATAGACTTTCTTGCCATTCCTCATCTTATTCAATCATCTCATTAGATAAATAGCTATCTTATTCTAAACTAATGATTTAAACCAAAGGAAAACTCCTAATTTTATCAATAGAATTAATTACTCATTTTTAAGGGTTTATAATCTCTCTATGTATAATTGATAGTCTATTGGACAAGCCAAATCAATGATTCTATCTTTAATATTAAAACGATAGCACATTTTAAACTTTTCAGGGAGCAAAACTTATTCATTTAAAGTGATCAAGAACTCTTTAAAATAAGGAGTGATTTTAATTTATAATGACTCTTAAGTGATAGTGTTGAATACAGGGATAGTGGTTGATTATGGGAATCTATAATTATTCATTTAAATATATACACATATTTATGATAATATAAATTCATTCTAATTCGATATCATCTAAACAAATTTTGAAGAGATCAGACATTTATAATGTAGCAATTGGCTCTTAACTTTCATTCAAGCAAACTAAACTACCTCTAGAAGAGAGTAATAAATTTTCAACAACCTAATTGTAATGTGATAATACTTCTTTTAATGTTTGTTTCATGTGGAATAGTTCTTTATTGCATATACAAAAACCTGCAAACTTTTTTTTCTCAACTTTAATAAAGTTCAACAAATCTATAGCAGGTCTATTCAACTATTCATATTATTGAGTTATACCATGTCGAATACTTAATATTTGAGAATAAATAAAAAGTCTCTTCTGTCTATCAATCCTAAATACTTATTGTTATTATCAACAATGGGGATAGCATTACGTTTAAATACATAGATCAATTTATAGAATACACTAAAAAATATATAAAGATATGATTACTCATATACATTAGTGTCAAAAGGAAGTTTATCATTCAATTATAAAATCCTATCACTAAAGTAATTGATTTCTAGTTCATGCTATTCTGATTATTGATTATTTTCATGATGAACTTCAATTCTATGTGATTTTTATGATAATTATAAATGGAAATATTAACTAAACCCTTTTACAAGAAATGCTAAAATATCTTTTTATTATAAGATGCCCACAATAATTCTAGATTCAGTATCAATAACTACAATTCTTGTTACACCCTACTTTAATATCTTCTTCATTGCATCATTAAGATTATCAGCCATGTCTGCCTAGACCAGACTAATTTAATGAAGACTTTCTCCATAAGAATTGAACCAGTCTCTTACTGAAATCGTCCTTAAGTCAATCAGCAATCTATTTATCTGTTCTTATCCTATTAATTATTTTTAATGCACAGGAGTAGTACGATCTTCATCTTCCTCTTCCATTATTGGCTAAACCTATATTTTACTATTTCCCCACACTGACTAAAATATGCATTAGAGATTACCATTAGGAACACCATTTAGAATATTTTGATAGCATTTAAGGATTATTCGAATCAAATCTGTTTAAGTGAATACACCATCATAATAAGCTACATCTGGATTCCAAAACAATACTTCATCAATATGCGTATCAATAAACACATTAAAAACATCAAATAGAGAGAATGATTAATCAATCACAGTCACTTGATTATTGATAGATAAGCAATCATATAGAGTGCTATCTTGTAAGAAGCAAGTTAGAGTTTTCATATATTAATCCTTAATTATGTCTTCTTTGCTTTACATCCTTTTCATTCCCTATATATTTTAAATTGATAATAATTTTTATTCAAAATTTATTTCCTTCAGCATTATGATAGTTATATCAACCAATCTATGAAAAGATTGATTCACAATTTGAGATCCTATTTTCTCTATTTGTATTTGTAGACTATGATGGAATCTTGTTGAATAAGTAGACAATGCTTTAAATAATTGAATAACAAAGTGAATTAATAAAACAATACATTTAAATAATAATATTTAACAGATTAGGATTGAGTTTGAATAGGAATATAAAAAATTATTTATTAATCCTTATATCAAATTATTGTTAATTATTCAAAAATCTTTGAGAATTTAAATAATTATGTTAAGTCAATTATTAATATAAACATTAAATGATTGACTTCATTCGACTTTTTAAACCTTAATAATGACTGAAGAATCATTAAGTTTTGATCCACTTTCATCGACTGGTTTTTATTTGTATTAATGTAGTTCACTATCTAAATTAGCCTCTTGAATTCTATATTTTCTAAATTAATAGATAACAATTCCAACTTTAATCATTAATTTATATATATATACTAGATGTTAATATGATTCCTCCTAATACTATGAGTAAGATTCTTATTAGTTTCCATTATTAAGCAAATAAATAAGTAGTTACAACTTGTACTGCAAAATTCTTTGTAGTTCTAATCAACTTATTATTAGAAATGGTATTATTAACAATATGTGATGAATTGAATTATAAAGTATAATATTATTTCTGCCATCCCTCATTATCTAAATATAAATGTTATAATTACTATGATCTGCAAAACAAACTACTCTTGCAGGAACAAATCGAAATTTTGTCAAAAAAGCATTAGTTGCAGTTACTCCAAAGAAGAAATCATCATATTAATATTCATCTTTAACAGCCTCCTTTAATTGATCTTCTTCATAAGTGTATTGAAAAAATTAAAAATCTCTCATTCCTATTTGGGTAAATAGGATCTTTTCTTTATTTGGTGCAAGAAAATCATAGCCATTATTAAATACAATCTAATGATGATTAACACCACTTATAATAGCAAATTCATCTGTAGCGTCTACATCAAGTATTCTATAATTGATTTATTATTTTGTTATTATTGAACATGATTTCTGACTAAAGTCTACTAGATATTCAATATAATAATAGATTCCATTCTATTCAAAGGCGGCAAATACATTATTACCATTCTTTGTATCTACAGCTATTCCACCTTTCTAACTTTCTAAATTATATACTAATTCAAATTCAAATTACTATTAATTTATAAACATATAAGCTAAAATTAAGCCTTATTTAGCATCAAGTAAGTATAATTAATATTATCCATCTTTAACTTTAAATACTGCAAAATCCTTTAATTCTAATTACTCCTTTTACAATTTGAAATCTTCAAATGTTACTGTATATTTATAAATAACATCACTCTCCTTTATTTCATAGATATCCATTCCTTCTTTACCAACAGCTGAAAACAAATATCCATCTATTTCTTTGGTCAATCCTCTTTCCTCTCTTTAAACCCAATTTAATATCTGATTTATGTTCATGGTTTTTTCATTTTTTTCCATTTCTGTTACACTAAAGTATTATGCACTATCTGAATATATAACAAAAGCCAAATTATTTTTTTTTGAATACACTAATTAAGGTAATTCATCTCTTGACTGTATAGAAGGAAGTACTGGTTAAAGGTTAGCTTTCCAAATTACACCTGCAAAATCTTTAGAATTTCCATAAGTTGTAAATCCTGAACTTTATAGAACATTATCATAATTAAATTTTATTAAATATGCTATTGCATCTGATGTTATTGCCAGCATTCCATCATTTATATGTACCATCCCAACAAATTCTCTAAAATTTAATGGAGTATCAATCTCAAATTCATAACTAAATAAAATATATACTCATAATTTACTCTTTAAAATCATCCGATTATATTATAGTAAATTGCTAAGTTTCAGTTTAAATTGTTTATTGTTTAACTTAACAGAAGCTCATATTTTAGAATGGTATTAATATTGCATCTTCAGCTTCTGGCATCCAGTAAATGATATTTGGTTCTCCTTAGTGAATTGTAAATGTTTCAGAAGATTTCTTATTTTCTAAGATCTCCAAATCAGCAGAACATAAGTTAATGAGAAATAGTAAACTCAAATAAAACATTTTTAGTTAAATTTATATCTTTAAAAATTTGATTTGAAATATTATTCTTCATTCTTGATACTGTTATGACTTTATGATAATTTTGAATATTATACTTTATTACTAGAAGTTTAAAGATGTAATATTTCTATATTTTTTAATAATTGAATCATTTCAGATATTTAGAAAATTTGGACATGGAATATCACTAAATTTAGGACCAGAAATACTATTACTCATAGCATATGTCTCTTAATCACTATATTTTCTATTTTATCTTTTTTGGTTTGTCTTTATTTGTTGTTTCAATATCATTACTATATTCCCATTTAAAACTACTTATAATTAACCATTAGGTTCTCTATCTTTTTTTCCATTATACCAATTCAACTCATAATCTGATTTACTATATTTATTATTATAATTCTCAACGCTTTCATCTAAATAAGGGTTGTAATTATTTTTATAGCCAATTCCATTACTAGTTTTCTAAAAGTATCCTTCTGAATCTGAATATTTGTTTCTTTTTTTTGAGTACTCCTTTTGTTACATTTACTCAACCTTCCATTAATCTTAATTTTAGTTCACTACATTTTGTATAAAAGAATTACTCTTTTTTATTTATTTTTGTTTTTTATTCCTTTTTTTTTAATAAATTTATTTCTTTTTTATACTTTTATCTTATCTTATCTTTGAATATCATTTCATTTAATTATAATATTATTCTTTTTTTGTATAATGAATATTAATAAGTCTTGATAAGGTCTTATACAAACTAAATATCAAATATGATAGTTATTAATTAATTTTATTTAAACTAACAATGGAAATTTGCTCATCTAAACTTAATTGGTTGATACACATTAAGAAATTATTTCAAAAAGATAGTGTTCTCAACATTACTGATCTCATTAATTAATTAAAAGATGAAACAATCATAGATATCTCAAATTCATAAGAGGAATTGTTCTCTTTAGATGAAGTTATTGAAGAAGTCTATAAATTCAAAAAAAAACGATTAAATTATGATGATTTCTTTTAAATAATTGGTAATCTACATTAATAGGACCATTAATAGTCAACTTGTGTGAACTCTTTAGCTGATTCAATTAATGATATGAGTGACACTAAAGTTAAATAAGAAATCAGAATATCTTATAATGATCCTACAAAACTAATAAAAACATAGTAAAGCTATAAGGTTACAAGACTATCAAAAAGTCCTCGATTAAAAATAGAAAACCTATAAGAAGCACAGAAGAAATTATTAGCTAAAATCACTGATATAGAAAATGAAATAGAATATGTATATATAGTAAATATATTTTAAAGTAGAAATAATAGAATTAATTGAAGAAACCTCATTAATTGTTAATTAAAGAATTAACCAAATAGTTAACGCAAAGTTCTGATGAAATTATTATAAATGGGGTGCAAAATTTCACTTTATAAGACTTTTATCTTGTGTTTCATAATCTTAATAAATCCATTTTTAATATAAAAATATTGACATTTTAAGAGAGATCTCAAGAAATAAGAGAAGTTGCAATGATATTTAAAAATTTACAAGCATTAAGCATAAATAATCTTTCAATAAAAACACTAAAATTAGAAGAACTTATAGAATTAAAAGTATTATCTGTAGCTGGAAATCAATTAAAAAATTTAGAAGGTTTACCTCCAAATTTAATAGAGCTTTATGCATAAAATAATTAAATTTAATAACTTTCAACCACAAAATCTCTAAAAATATTGAATATATCTGCAAATAATCTTACATAATTGAATCAATTAACTCACATAAATAAATCATTAGAATTTATTAATTGCAATTATAATATTTGTGCAAATTCCAAGGATTATAAAAGATTATTATTTAAAATTTTTCCAAATTTAAAAGGTGTTGACAAAGAAGATTTATTATAACATTCAATAATACAATAACCTGGTTTTCATTATAATAAAGACATTATGGATTTTTCCTTTAGTCAATCCTGATGATAAATTAATTTATTAACAGTTTTCATTTTGATAAATAATTATTTTATATTGATTCCATGCATCAAATACAATCAAATTATTTTATAAAATCATTTATAATAAGGCTATTTTTATATAATATTTCAATTAATTAATTCTTTAAATTGAGCTTCAAGGTCCGACACATGATTCTGTTATTGTTATTATTATTGAGAACTCTATATTTATTATTAATTTTATATAGAAGATATAGTCTATGTTTAATAAAATTAGGATTAAAGCTATCCAGCTTAAAAGGTAGTTTATAAAAAAGTGTTTGGGAGATTTTACTATTATATATAATTGATGGTCAAACAATTTGTACAATTTATTAAATTCGAAACTTAAATAGTAAAAATTCTTACTTCCTTATTGATATATTACAGTTTTTCTACATGTACCACAAATGAAATATGCATATATCAATTTATTAATTTATTTACAATTGTAACACATAAAAACATATTTATTTTCTGGAATTAATTGTAGAGTCAAACAGAACATACATGTTGATTACATTTAACTAAATTAAAAAATAAATCTTCACTTAGATTAATTACAATTTTCATTTTGAATATGAGAAATTTAATTGGAATTACTTTCCTTTAATTATTCTACAACTATAGTCTGATGTTAATGTGAATGAGATAAGTTATGAGTATTTAACATAGGTTTCTATAAAAACTAATTAAAATTAGCTGTACTTATAAAACTTATTACTGAATAGGATTGGATAATAATAATTACTATTATTGTTCACTTTAACCAGTTTAGAGTATAGAGTTCTAATTACTTTTTAACATTGTTATTGGTTCTTAATGAAGATTGTTTAAATTTGCAGTGTTAGTTTAGATTTCTAATAAGTTGTAAAATAATTTACTTGCATCATCAAGGTAGATTTAATCTTAGTCAACTCCAAAATCTTCGAATTCGAATAAACAGTTTTTTTATTAAGAATCAGATTAATTTGAGAGTAATCCTTGTTTAGGATTATTAGATTACATTTTTGATAATAAATATTAGAATTATTATAATTTTTATATTTTGAAGTTTTCTTAAATAAACCAAAAATAAATAATCTATTATATTAATTTTAAAATCTACAAGAGTATAAAGCAAAATTAATTAAAATTATATCACTTTTAGAGCCTTTATCTAATGAAAGAGAGTCCAATTTAATTATACTTTTAATAGATAAGTAAATCTTCGTGTCTCTAAATTTTAATATTAATATATACTACAATATTTATTTTATCCTAGATTGTGTCACTATATTTAAAATCTAACATTATAAATTTAGATGCATATTTAATTATTTCAATCAGATCTACAAGATTGAATCCAAAACTAATTTAAGAGAATTCTGTAAATAATTTATTAAATGATTTCTAAGCTAGTGATTATAAAAGATATTTACAATCAGCAAGTATAAATTTTCTGGTTTTTGGAATTTCATAATAAATATATTCTTTTGTGAATTATTCATATTCTAATGCCAACACTAAATACATGAAAGAAGCTACAACTTTTCTTGGTTTATAACTAAGTGTTTCAAAATCAAGATAACAACAATCAATATATCCTTACAATTTTAGCATCACTTATATATTATATTTATGTAATACTTTTAAATGAAAAATTGTTATTCTATCTAAATTTCTTATGAACATCTGAAATATAATTATCCCATTAATTTGTATAAAATTCAATCCATAAATTTATAGTTGGTATATTCAAATGCCATTATAAAATTTTGCAAATTTCCTTCTCCATTTCATAGATTTTTTCTATAGAATAACCATAATTACTAGCTTTTTCAAAATCCTATGGATTCTTAGACTCTACTTCCTTAAAAAAAAAGAATCATCATAATATTTACCTCCATTTTAGATGCAATAAGCATTGAAGCAGTTCCTAATAATTACAATTCTGGTTTTGTAATAGCTTTTTTTGATAAATAACTATCAACATAAGCTACTGCCAAATAATATGTATCTCTCTTCATTAAATATACAGAACAAACTTCAATCATCCAATCCATCAAAATTGCTCTCATTAATGGAGTAATTTAAGTCTATATTGATTATAGATAATCACAATTAGGAGCATATTCAATTTCTTAGAGCATCAAAACTTATAAAGTTTCTTAAGAAAATCCACCTATTTAAGAATTTTAATTATTGTTTTCATTAGTTATATTATTATTTTTAGTATTTGTAGGATTAAGTACTTAAGTATTAGCATTATCACTAATAATTGTAATGCTTGATTCATCACATTCGAGAGCAAGTCCTATCTATTTCTATTCTCCCATTGATATACATCTAGTATTTTTTTTATGTTTAATTAAATTATTAGGGCTTTATTTTTTTATTGTTCTTTCACTAAACTAATTAGAATTATCATCAGGAATGAAAAATTTAGGAACATTTATTTTTTCAATTTATTTATCTTCCCTATGTGAATTACAACTATAAATATATAAAATTCATTATTACTTTTCACAATTAGATATATATGAATTAGTAGTATTGGTATTTGTATTAGTATTTTTTGGCATATTAGAAATCATAAAATAAACACCAGAATTACCTTAAACAACTTAACTATATTAACGACTATTCTTTTTAAAATGAGATTTATTGCTATTATGTTCAATTGAATTATTTCTTGATTGACTTTAATCTTTTAAGAAAGTCTCAAATGTAATTTATTAATTTTGAAAATCCTTTCTTTCCCAAATAGCTGATCCCTTAAGATTTTCATTTTATGTATTTTGTTCAATATTTTTTGGTTTATTGAATATTGGTTTTAAACTTAATTGTGCTACTTTTGTTAATGTTTGATTAGATGTTTATTGAGGTACATTCATTTAAAAGGGTACACAACTTTATTATTTTTTATTTTTTTTATATTTAATACTATCAGGCTAGAATGTAGGCTATTCTATAAATTAAATATACTTAAATCTATAATTTTTTATGCAATTGAATCTATTTATTGTATAATGGTTATTTCAAATTTTCATCAAATCCCTTAAACGATACATTCTCAAATAATAAGGATAGATACATTAAGTTATGAATTATTTTCTTTTGAAATGTAATAAGGATTCCATTACAAGTTCATTATTTCAAATTTAAATATAATTATTGATAAAACATATTAATTAATACATTTCATAGTATATAATAAAATATACTTTTCTACATTCAAATTTAACCGCCTTTTTTGAAGTATTTTGAGATAAAACTTTTCAATCTTTTTTTAAATTGAAACATTTGTAAGAATATATTAATTGAGAATAAACTTTTATTTTTCTAATGTACCAATAAATTTTGAATTATAATAATTAAACCTTCTATCATAAATATTAATTAAGAATATCATATATTATTGGAGTGTTTTATAAAAATTTAATGATTTATTGATAAAATTTATAAAAAATAATATACTATTTTATTAGATAAATTGGATTTATTTCTTTTTTCATTTTCACATTAATTAATTTTGTTGTTGAAATTAAATTTATATTATTTTAGATTTTACAAAACTCCGCCAATTTGTGAAATCATAATATCTAATTTTGGAATTGAATATTAAATATTAACAATATCAAATATTGTATTGTTTTGATTTTCCTCAAAGTTTTAAATATTCTATTATTCACTATTTTGTATTATA